GGGGCAGACGCCGCGCCGACCGACTCAAGACCAAGTAGGTCGGCAGCAGCAGCAGAGGCAACAGAGGGCAGCAAGGGGGAAGGAGAGCACCCCTCAAAGATGGGGGTGCGAGGGTCTCCACGAGAAGCTCCTACAGCGACTATGCTCTTCTCCGCTGCGAGGAGGGCCTTCTCGAGGACGTCGACAGTGAGGGTGGTGGGACAGACTGCGAGAAAGTGGTCCCTGACTACACGAAGGGAGTCAGGGAGGCGTGCGACTACGTAGTAGAGAGTGATGTACATGGGGGGGGGGTTCTTAGCGCAGAACTCAGCAGGAAGGGCGGCGCGGTAGCGAGTGTCACTAGTGCGGAGGTGCGTAATGAGGTCAGCGACAGTGGGAAAGGCAGAGAGGTCAGGAAAGAGGTAGGGAAGCATGAGACGGCTCAGTGCAGCAGTGGCAGGAGAGGAGTAGCGTGCAACTACAGCGTCGTACAAGGTCTGAGCACTCTTGTACTGACTAAAATGCGCACGCTCAGAGGTAGGGAGGTGGCGACGCACAGCAAGACGTGCAGCAGCATCGCGGGTGGCCCACTGAGAGCGCACAGTGGGATCAGCATCGGCAGCAGGAGCAGGAGAGGCGCCAGAGGTAAGGTCAAAGAGAGAAAGGCTGTCTGCCCTATCGCACTGTAAAAACAACTGCAGGTCATCTACCCAGACCTCAAAGTCAATGGCGCGACCCTCAGCGTCAAAAGCTAGGACACTAGGGGTAGCCATGACGACGACAGCGAAGCAGTGCAAGCAGTAGGGGAAGAGCACGCAGTGACAGTGGGACTGTGCTCACCAGGCAGGGCAGGCCGGGCAACTCTGCAGAAGGGCGGCTCGGCTACTCAGCGACTCGGCTGCTGGGCGGCTCGGCTCCCGGGCGACTCGGCGGCAGGGCGGCTCTGGTGCAGGGCGGCTCGGCTCCCGGGCGGCTCGGCGGCTGGGCGGCTCGGCTCCCGGGCGGCTCGGCGGCAGGGCGGCTCGGGTGCGGGGCGGCTCGGCTGCACTGCTGCTCGGCTGCTGCAGGTGGGCGGCTTGGCTGCTGCAGGTAGGGTGGCGGGGCCGCGAGATCAGGGGCAGCGGGGCCGAAGTAGCAGGGCCGGCAGGTGCAGCGGCGGGGACGGCGGGGCCGCGGCTGGTGGAGCGGCGGGGCCGGCAGAGAGGGCGGCGGAGCCGCGGCTGAGCAGGCGGCGGGGCCGGCGGCGTAGCGGGCGGCGGGGCCGCGTCGTAGTAGGCGGCTGGGCCGCGTCGTAGCGGGCGGCGGGGCCGCGTTAGAGCAGGCGGCGGGGCCGCGTCAGAGGCGGCGGCGGGGCCGCGTCAGATCAGGCGGCGGGGCCGCGTCAGAGGTGGCGGCGGGGCCGCGTCAGATCAGGCAGCGGGGCCGCGTCAGAGGTTGCGGCGGGGCCGCGTAAGAGGTGGCGGCGGGGCCGCGTCAGAGCAGGCGGCGGGGCCGCGTCGTAGCGGGCGGCGGGGCCGCGTTAGAGTAGGCGGCAGGGCCGCGTCAGAGCAGGCGGCAGGGCCGCGTCGAGCAGGTGGCGGGGCCGCTTCGCAGCTGGCGGCGGGGCCGCGATCGGGTGGCGGGGCCGCGACGTGGCGGCGGGGCCGCGATCGGGTGGCGGGGCCGCGATCAGAAGGGGTGGCGGGGCCGCGTCTGAGGGACGGCGGGGCCACGAGGGAAAGGGCGACTCGAGGGGTCGCTAAAAAAAAAAAAAAAAAAGGTGCGCGCCTCGGGGCGCGCTTCGGTGGGCCCTAGGCCACGTTCCCACAGGGAACTCGCTCTGATACCATGTGAAATAAATGAGCAGGAATGATGAATGACTAAGTCAGAGTTGGGTACAAATACAACCCTAGAAAGCTGTACCCCATATGTGCTACCCCACTATAGCCTACAAACATGCATCAGCTATAATAATCTGACACGGAGAAGGTACTGGAGAGGTTTAAGCTTACCTCGGGGTTGGAGACGAATGTGGAAAAGTCAGTCATCCTGCCGCTGGGCGATAACCTGCGCAGGCACTCATGCAGACCACATAGCTTCCGATGGGCGGGAGCGGATGAGGCAGAGAGACTGCTGGGGATTTGGGTAACACCGACAGGAAGTTGTCAGCCAACGTGGGAGAAGGCGGGGGCAAGCGTGGTCGGAAAACTTAAAACATGGGAGAAAAAATATCTTCCGATGAAGGCGAGAGCGGGAGTGGTGAATGACTACTCTATGTCGGTGGTGGCGTTCCAGGCGCAAGTATATCCGCCGCCGCGAGTAACCTGGAATGCGCTCTCCAAGACGTTCCATAACTTTGTATCTGGGAACAAGGCAACGGCTGACAGGGTGTTCAGGTTGTGGAGTAAGGATCTTCTACACACGTCAAGGGAGGATGGGGGAGTTGGAGTATGTGACCCGGAGATGATCCTTGCTTGCCTCTCGGCAAGGAGGGTGGGGCTATTGATCACGGAGAGGAACGTGCTCAAGAAAGAGATCATGATGTGGGCGGCTGAGCTTCCTATGAGCATTGAGTCCTTCTTCGCACATGAAAAACTACTACGGCGATGGGAAGGACGTAGTGCTCGGTGGAAAATCGCGTGCGAAAATTTTATGAAGTCGCCACTGGGGGAATTTCCGGAGATCGTTACTCGAGAAGCTGCGGAGGGAGAGCGGATAATGTTTAACAAGCGTATCCTTCTCAGGGGGACCACACCGGTTGGAGAACAGAAGGACGCCAAACCACTGTGGGAGATGAGGCTGGGACACTTGATCAGCTATGACAAGGAAGGAGTTCCCACACTAAGAGGGGTGGAGTCACTGAAGAAGGAGCTGGGGGGGAAAGGGCCAGCTAGGCTGGCGTTGAAGGCTTTCGAAGCGGCACCTGAGACATGGCGGGCTCTGGTGCTAGACGGTTCCTACAGAGAGCAATCAAACCCTAGTACGGCTGGTTCTCATCGCAGGAGATACATCCCGCCTGGGAGAGACTTCACGCTTCTACCGATCTTTGAGAAGGGGAAGGTGGTGCCGATGAGGCGGCTGGAAAAGCTGTGGAAGAAAGGGCAAAAGGCATCAGTGAAGCAGCAACAATGGTCGGGCAGGTGGAACGGGAAGATTGAATGGAAAAGGGCAATCTCGGTCAGAGAATCCCTGGCTACTCCAAGCAGGCCAAGGGATGTTTTGCTAAGGGTGCATAACCTTAACCTACAGGTGGGGGAACGACTGTCATTTCTGAGTGGACAACCGAAATGTCCGCACTGTGGGGGAGAGGAGACTTTGGAACACTGCCTTTACGACTGCCCCAAAGTCCATACGGTGATTACAGCACTCAAGCGGGCTCTTCATATGATAAACAACTCGAGGTCGATTTCGTCGTTAGGGGACCTTCTCTTCCAGAAGCCATGCTCCAGCTCAGCGTTTCCAGAAGCGACAATAATTGCCATCACACTCCATCAGGTGTGGTTGGAGCGCTGTCAAGCTGCTTTCAGAGGGCGAAGGTTCGGGACAAAACGGGTGTTGAGGTGGATTGAGCTGGCTTTCCGGCAGCATGCAAGGGTGTACATGCGGGCAAAGGAGGATGTACGCAGGAGGCGGGTGGCTACGGACAAGAAGGGATCGTTTCAGCGCGCAAGAGAGGAGGAGATAAGATTGGTAGATAAACTGAGGGACAGTAGCAGCAAGAAGTGGAAGTGGAATAGTGCGTTTGCTGCCATCTGGCAGCTGCCGAGGAAAAATCACAGACCACCATAGTTGTCAATCTGGGGTAGCCACGTAGCTACCTCTCACGCACAGTTACGACTGTTATTGCTATATACATCTGCTGTACTTGGTGCATACATCAATTACCCAAAAAAAAAAAAAGCACGAACGAATCCTTTTTTCTAGCTGCGAATTAACGAAACCCTTACGATTTTCAAGAACCACTTTAGCGCCCTCTTGACAAGGCACCCATGGGGTGACTCAAACAATAATCAGATGTACAGTCTCATGGATCCAGCAAGAATGCAGGCGGGCAGGAAGGCTGTCAGGCAGGGGGCAGAAATGTCCGGTGCGGGACCACTATGGTTGGTCTGGTGGCTGATCAAGGAGGCAGAGCTGAGGACAACTGATCTGCCCGAGTCGTGCTGCCCAACCACTGGGAATATTTCCCCTTCGACTCGGGGCAGAAAAATATGTGTTCTTGGGCTGGAAAAAAACGGGCTACTACCCCCGATATGTGTTGTCGCGTCAATCTGCTCACTGAGCTTCTGTTTCAACCCCACCCCCGCATCCCCCGAGTCTGCACTTTCGCGCCTTTCCTTTCCCCACTGCCTGACATTTCCGCTCGCGCATGAATCATGCAAAATTTGACTCCTAAGTTGACCAGCGCGAACTAGGGGCGCAAGGTCCGACTCTCTCTCTCTCCCTCCCTCGCTCTCTCATCACTTCCACATGTTATTCCCGCCAGCCGAACATCGCCCTAATGAGCCAAGAGTATCTCAACAGGCTCATGCTCCTTTCCCGCACCTCGAACTGCAGTCTTTTCGTCAAAATCGGGAATTGACATGCTCCCCAATCATCCTCAGTGCCTTATAGTTTTTCTTGGCTCGGTTTAGAATCCAGTGCGTTTATTCTGCAGTTGATTCCTCGATCTGAACTGTTCGGTAACATATCCGCGGCATTTCGCCTCTCTCGTGATAGCGTGACGGTGTCGTGGCTGGTTACTGACAGCTCCCATTGCCATGGGAAAACTGTTGCACATCGATAGCGCCGACTGTGATCGCGGAGAGTTTTCAGCGGAATGGAATTCCCTCACGTCACTACTAGACGACAACATTCTCTCCAGAGTCCTCTCCTTCCTCCCCTCGCGCTTCGCCATCTCCTCAGCCGCCTTCGTCTGCCGCCGCTGGTGCCGCATCGCGCTGCGCTTGTCTGTGCAATCGCTCCAACCGTCACCCTTCCTGCTCGAGAGCATAGCTCCGGGATCGGAGCGCATCCTTGGTTGTTCCGACTCCGAATCGCAGATGCTCGATTTAACTATGCGATTCGCCGACACGCTCCGGTCCCTGGAGTTCCGTCCCGGCGCACGAAACTTAACGGAATCTGATGACGACAGGCTGACGTGCCACGGCATCGCACGAATCCTTGGACAGGCACCGAGGATCGAAACCCTGACTCTGGTCAGTTGCGTGGAGTACAGCTGCCGGCTACTGGATTCGCTACCCATGCTCAAACTAGACTTCGAGAGGGTGCTGTTACCAGCCGTGCCACGTCAGCTCAAGTCGCTGAGTGTGCGCTCCGACCACTTTCTCTGCCCGGTGACGTGCGTAAACCCGCTCGCGCTCGCTGAAGGCGATTCGGAAGCGTTCAATGAGGAGGAGATAGCTGAGAGGACTCAATCTAGGAGATCCGATCTGGTGTGGGGTCATGGTGACGCCACTCAATTCCCCGAGCCGGGATCGTCCACCCCCACTCCGCAAACCCCTCCGCCTCCGTGTGTTCCTGCGCTTACCCCTCCGCCACCCCCTCCTCCTCCGCCACCCCCTCCCCCTCCGCGTGTTCCTGCGCCATCTCCACCCCCCTCTCCCCCTCCGCGTGCTCCTTCGCCCCCTCCGCCACCCCCTCCCCCTCCGCGTGTTCCTGCGCCTCCCCCTCCGCCACCCCCTCCCCCTCCGAGTGTTCCCGCGCCTCCTCCTCCCCGCTCTCCCCCTCCGCGTGTTCATGCGGCCCCTCCTCCGCCACCCCCTCCCCCGCCATGTGTTCATGCGCTCCCTCCGCCCCCCCCTCCCCCGCCACGTGTTCATGCGCCCCCTCCGCCCCCCTCTCCCCCTCCGCGTGTTCCTGCGCCCCCTCCTCCGCCACCCCCTCCCCCTCCGCGTGTTCATGCGCCTCCTCCGCCACCCCCTCCCCTTCCGCGTGTTCCTCCACCCCCTCCGCCCCTCCCATCCCCTCCGCGTTGTCCTCCACCTCCCCTGCCGCCTCCTAATTGGATCCCCCCCCCCCGCCGCGGCCTCCCCCGTTGTGCGCGCCCCATCGGCAGCCCGACTTCCTCTCCGCCCGCCACCTGCTTTCAATCGCCGCCGCGCTCCCTAATCTCCGTGCCTTAAACATCAACGTGCCAGGGGACTACACCGCGGAGTCCATAGAGCACATGGCCAGCAAGCTTCCGCGCCTGACAGCCCTCGCGCTCTGCGCGGATTCTGTCACCTGGGAGACGCTCTTTCGCTTCGCCTCCTCGCACTCCTCCCGTCGCTACAGCGCCTCTCTCTCGTGTCATACCGCCTCGCGCCCCTTCCGGAGTACAAGCAGTGGGAGGCGGCACACGCAACGACAGAGCGCCGCGGAGTAGGACGGGCGAGGAGGTCAGCTGATGCAGCTGATAATGCTGCGGCGGCTGTAGAGACATCTCAAAAGTCAGCCGATGCAGCCAATGCAGCCGATGCGGCGGCTGCTCTTCTGGCTCACCTCTCCTTGCTCGCCGAAGCACCCAAGGATGCTGACAACCCTTTCTCATGCGCGTTAGGCTCAGCTACCCCCCTGGTGCCGTGCCTCTCCTCCATCCGTCTATATATCACCCCCCATCACTCCGTTCCCCCATCACTCCGTTCCCCCATCACTCCGTTCCCCCATCACTCCGTTCCCCCATCACTCCGTTCCCCCATCACTCCGTTCCCCCATCACTCTGTTCCCCCATCACTCCGTTCCCCCATCACTCCGTTCCCCCATCAGTCCGTTCCCCCATCACTCCGTTCCCCCATCACTCCGTGGCCTGGGATCTGCTTCCCGCCTCCTCCCTCCTGCTCGCCCTCTCTGCTAAAAGCGTCGCCACTGGAGCACAGACCAGCAGCACCAACACCAACACCAGCAGCAGCATCACTTGCAGCAGTAGCGGCGGCGGCGGCGGCGGCGGCAATGGTGGCAGCCAGTGCCTCTCACCTGCGTCCTCCTCCTCCTCTCTGCGCTCCTTTCACGCCCACACTTCCTCCCTGTCCACGTGGCAACTCGTGAACGGATGCACGCGATTGGTGCAGCTAAGTCTGGGTGGCTGTGAGAACGTGGGGCCAGTGGGGCTGCGCCAGCTGGCGAGGCGATGCGGGCGGCTGGAGGTGCTGCGGCTGGCGCGGACGGCGGTGGACGATGCTGCTATCGTGGCGGCCCTGTTCGGCGACAGCTGGCGCGGCGGCAGCGTGGGTGGGGCAGTGAATGCTGCTGTTGGCAGTGCTGTCGTTGAAATTTCACCTGAGCGTACCCCTGAAATTTCACCTGGACCCGATGACGCTGCTACTGGTGCAGCAGGCAGTGCTCCTGAGCCTCCTCCTGAGATTTCATCTTCTCCTGACGCTGCTGCTGGTGTAGGCAGTGCTTCCGGCGCGCCACTGCAGCTGCAGCTGCCGCGGCTGGTTCTGCTGGACCTGTATGGATGCCCGGGGGTGTCGTCTACCCTCCTGGTCGCCCTCTCAGCAGTTGCCAGGGAACTTGCTGGCAACAGGGAGAAGAGCAGGGAAACTGGGTTGGCTGAAGTGGTGGCGGTGGATGGGGGGTGTGAGGAGCAGGAGGAAATTGCAGGCGAGGGTTTGGGGCATGAGGAGGAAAGGATGAGGTGGAGTGGGTGCTTTGGGCTGCAGGATTTCAGGCTGCGGCGGCTGGTGGTTTCTCCTGGAGTGATTGCTGGGGATCGGTGGAGGGGAAGCAAGGAAGGTGGAAGCAGGGAAGGTGGAAGCGAGGGTGACATGGGAAGGGGTGAAGGGAGTGGAGAAGCTTGTTTCGATAACGGTAGTGTGGAGTTTAGGAAGTGGAGGGAGTTGAGGCGTGCTGGCAGGGAGGTTGGGATGCTGCTGCCACGGCTGGTGGTGACTGGTCGAAGGACCGCGGAGCATGTTTTGCTGTGGAATGGTTTCTTCGGAGAGTGGCAACTTGCTGTGGTTGGTGGCGAGGAGGACGAGAGTGTTATTAGTGCTGGTGATGATGCTTGTGATGATGCATGTGATGATGCATGTGATGATACATGTGATGATACATGTGATGATAATGGAGAATGCGACGATGATGCAGCGAGTGATGGTGCAGAATGGGATGATGCAGAATGGGGTTATGGATGAGGATATGATTATTGCTAGGAGTATGTATGCGTGTGCATAGAGTTCTACTTATTTATCCATTGTAATCAAGGCAAATGCTGACTATTCATTGCTCTCTCTACGCGCTGCTTCTCCACTCCCCCTTGCACTGCTAACCCTTCCCTACTCTCTGCTTCCCCACTCCCCCCTTGCACTGCTCCTCCTTCCCTGCACGCTGGATTCCCCCTTTCCTATGCAAAGCCCCAGTCCCTACTTGCTGCTCCTAGAACACACACTCCCTCTTAGCTGATCAAGGTAAGACCTCTGCAGCCCACTTCTCATCTTCTAACGAGTCGCTTTTCTCTATACACTGCTCCCCTTTTCCACGTGTGCTTCTTTTCCATAATCGTCCCGTTGTCCCTTTGTCCCAACCCTCCCGTCCCTCCCCTTTCCCAGTCTTCTGCCCCTCTCTCACCGCTCTCCTGACCCTCCCTCAATCCCCATCCCGTCCTCTCTTTCCTACTCCAATCCATCCCTTTTCCGCCTCTCCCATCCCTCCCTTGCCCTTCCTCCGTTTCCCCCTTTGTCCATTCCTCCATTCCCCCCTTGCCCTATCCTCTGTTTCCCCTTTAACCTATGCCCCATCTACCGCATGTCCTTCCCTCTTATTTCCCACGGTGCCCCCCATTGCCATCATTTCGGTCACCCCTAGCCCTTCTCTTTGATCCCACTTTCTCCTTCGTTCCATTCCCCCCTTGCCCTTTTCCCCCCGTTTCCCTCCTTGTCCTCCATTCCCGTTCCTTCTTGCCCTTCCCTTCGTTCTCCCTTGCCCATTTCCTCCCACTTAACCCATTGCCTTTTTCACCATTTCCCCCCTGCGCTTCCGTCCGTTTCGCCCTTGCCGCCTCTCCCCGCCTATCTCCCCCTGTGTGCTTAAACCATCCCTTCCCTCCAGTCCTCTCTCCTTCCTTCCCTCCCCGCCTATCTCCCCCTGTGTGCTTAAACCCGCCCTTCCCTCCAGTCCTCTCTCCTTCCTTCCCTTCCTGCCTGTCTCACCCTGTGTGCTTACACACGCCCTTCCCTCCAGTCCTCTCTCCTTCCTTCCCTCCCCGCCTTTCTCCCCCTGTGTGCTTAAACCCGCCCTTCCCTCCATTCCTCTCTCCTTCCTTCCCTCCCCGCCTATCTCCCCCTGTGTGCTTAAACCCGCCCTTCTCTCTTTCCCCTTCCTCCCCGGCCCGTCTCCCCCTCTGCTCATGAACCCACCCTTCCATCCCCACCTCTCTCCATCCTTCCCCCCTCGCCTATTGCCCCCTCTGCCCTGTCACCGCCCTTCCCCCCCCCCTCTTCCTTCCTTCCTTCCCCCCATCTTTCCGTCCTTCCTTCCCCCCCTCTTTCCGTCCTTCCTTTCCCCCCTCTTTCCGTCCTTCCTTCCCCCCTCTTTCAGTCCTTCCTTCCCCCCTCTTTCCGTCCTTCCTTCCCCCTCTTTCCGTCCTTCCTTCCCCCTCTTTCCGTCCTTCCTTTCCCCTCTCCAAGCCCCTCTGCCCTTTTGCCACACTTCCCTCCCCACCTCTCTCCTTCCCTCCCTCCCTGTCCCTGTCTATATCCCCTCTGCCTGTGACTTTTGAGTCGACTCAAAAGTCACCTTTTGCCACACTTCCCTCCCCACCTCTCTCCTTCCCTCCCCACCTGTCTATATCTCCTCTGCCCTAGAACCTGCACTTCTCCCTTCCTCTCTCCTTCCATCTCGCTCCGCCCTTCTCCACGTAAGTTGTCCCTCCTACCTATGGTATGTCCCGTCCTCGTTTCCCTTTCTGCATCCTACATGACATCACAACCCTTTCTGCCTCACTCCTCCCGCCCCTCTCTGCCCCTCTCCACTTTTCCGCCTCTCTCGTCTCCTCCCATCCCTGCTCAGTCCTGCACCACACCCTCTGTTTCCCCTTTTCCCTCTTCACCGTTTTACCGCCTGCGTTATAGTTTCCATGCCACCCTGCAAGTGGTGTTTGTGTGCGTGCTCTCACTCTCTCATGCCCATATGCCAGCATTCGCACGCCCGCCTCATACTTTCATGTTCCCATGCTTTAATCGCCCCTCATGCTCTCCGCTGAGCCCTTGTCCCGAAATTTCTCCCTCAACGCCATGCACGCTGCTCAAGAAGATGGGTATCCATGGCAGCAGAGGGTGATCTGTCTGCGTCAGTCAAATTAAACTAGGTAGTTGAAACGATGGATTCATCGTCGTGGGATGCGCACCATGCTCACCATGCTTATCATGCTCACCATGCTCACTCAACTGCTAGAAGCTCATTCACCATATCGTATGTTTCATGTTCTAAACTTATACGGTAGCTGTAATAAATCAAGGAAATATAATAATATCAAATTACGGTATGATCAGCATCAATAGAGTGCAACTTGTTGTGCATGGTAATCCTATCTAAGGAACAGGGGTTAGAGTTGTATATTTCTTTAGAGCTCATTAAAAAAAGCCACTCAGTGAAAGACTCATCAAGCCAAGTGAACCATCTAAGCTTCCGAAAAATCTAGGGTACCAGCAATTTCTTTTGCAATTGCTTCACGGGCAAAACAGGAATCTGTCGCACATTGAACCTCCAAAAAAGTTCACTTTTTGGGGCCGGTAGCGGTCGGTAGCGCCCGGTAGCGCTACCGACCGCGTCAGCAAGCTGCCGGAGGGCAGAAAAAATAAACCCCATGGCTTACGGCATGCCATTCGGGAGCCTCAACCCTAACATTTTAGGGTTGAGGCTCCCTCGGATGGCATGCCATCCGAGTGGGTTTTAGTTTTTTTCTTGCCCGCGGTCATGAAGCTGGCAGTGCAATATATTCTTCCAGAACAACCACTCGGCTCAGGACGGGGTCGGCGCGCTCATTTACAGTTCATTCTGAGATGTTACTCTAGTTTTGTCATGGTTTAGAACGGTTAATCGTGAAAACCGCTGTAAGCTGTTGAGATCGTTTTGCACCACGACGGATGAACTGTACAATTGGGAAAAACGAACGCGATGGGCCCGCTCTTAGCATACACAAAAAGGGTAATTTCGTTATTTTATATTTATTAAAGTTGCAGCGAATGGTAGGACCAGTAGCACAATCCTTCAATCTCTCGTTCTGATGCGCGGGTACAACACTCGCCTGGTCCTTTTTCCACGTACTTCTCAAATGTCCCTCACACAGATGGACACGTCTGTGCAACTGAAGAGGGGCGGGACATGTGGCGAGTCGAAGCTTCCGAAGAATGGACGTAGGGACGTTGCCGCGCACCCTCGCGCGCAGAAAGAGGTGAAACTCTTTCTCCGCCGCGTCCGCTTTGCCCACTTTTCTCCCTCTCTCTCAGCCGCCTCACGCGCCGACTCAGTCGTCGCCTCTTCCTCCCCTTCCTCGTCCACCTCCCGTCCCTCCTTCCCTTCCTCCGCGTCGCTGTAGCCCGTTGGCACCTCGCGTGTCGGCGGCGCCTCCGCTACCGGCGTCGCGCATTATCTTCGTCGACGATTACAGCTTTTTTTTTCCTCTTTTTAGAGTTAGTGACTCCAGCGTCACCGCCGTCATCACCGCCGTCACCGCCGTCATCACCGCCGTCACCGCCGTCATCACCGCCTCACGCGCCGACTCAGTCGTCGCCTCTTCCTCCCCTTCCTCGTCCACCTCCCGTCCCTCCTTCCCTCCCTCCGCGTCGCTGTAGCCCGTTGGCACCTCGCGTGTCGGCGGCGCCTCCGTTACCGGCGTCGCGCATTATCTTCGTCGACGATTACAGCTTTTTTTTTCCTCTTTTTAGAGTTAGTGACTCCAGCGTCACCGCCGTCATCACCGCCGTCACCGCCGTCATCACCGCCGTCACCGCCGTCATCACCGCCGTCACCGCCGTCACCGCCGTCATCACCGCCGTCACCGCCGTCACCACCGGCGGGTTGCTGCGTCACCGCCCGGGCTGCTGTTTCTCCAACTCCGCGCCTTGAGTCCTCCTCGACCTCCGCGTCTTCCCCGCTTCCCCATTCGCCCCTTCGCCGTTCCCCGCTTCCGCATTCACCCATTCGCCGTTCCTCGCCTCCGCCTTCATCCCTTTGCCCTTCCCCGGTTCCACCTTCACCCATTCGCCCTTCCCCGCTTCCACCCTCACCCCTCCGCTGTTATCCGCTTCTGGTTTCCCCGCTTCTGCTATCCCCGCTTCCGCCTTTTCAGCTGCCACAGCCGCATAGGGAGATTCAGGCGCCAAAAGCAAGCTCAGGCGGAAAGGACAGGTGGCAGCGGGCTTTGCGGCAGAGGAAGCAGATCCCGGCAGAAAGGGGTCAAATCCGGCAGGGAAGGGCGAAGCGCGGAGGGCAACGGCGCTGGATTTGCGGCAAGAAGGAGCGGCGTGTGAGCGAGCGCGCGCTTTAGTCGGGAATCGGGATGTCGTTCAAAGGGCCGCGCAAGGGGTTTCTGGAGGTGTTTAAGTTCGTGTGCTACGTGGGTATCCCCATCGCCATGATGGTCACGTTCGCCAACAACCAAGACAACCTCGAGGCTATTATCCGAAACGTGAGACCCTTTTATGTGAGACATGCTCGTGCGTCAATGTTGGATTGGTGCATCATGCGACATGTGCGTGCGTGAGTGAGTGAGTGTTGGGGTTGTGCATGAGGCGGCGTGAGATCATTCCCATCGCATCACCATGATGGTCACATTTGCCAACAACCACGACAACCTCGAGGCTATCATCCGCAACGTGAGACCATCATGCGCACGATGCAGACATGTGTGTGTGCATGGCGAAAACGTGTATGCGTGCATGTGCCTCAGGCGAAAACGTGCGTGGCGTGGGTCATGTGACACGTGACATGTGACCGTGAGGCGTTCATGTGTACCCCGCCCACTGCCTGTTCTATGAGGCCAGAAAAAAGGCCTTCAACCCCTCGAATTTCTTATGTACCTCCCCACATGCACACCCCGCTAAATCCACTGTCTCATCCGTCCCTCCCCACTCTCCCTCCACCCACCCACGCAATTCCGCCTTCCCCCTCTCCCCATCTTCTTCCCCCACAGAGGGCATATGTGATCTACCCCCCTGAGGGCCCTCACCCGCCCTCATGTGCACTCCCCCTACCCCCCTATTTTCCCCCCTCCCCTCCTCCCCCCTTCCTCGCCTACAGAGAGCATATGTGATCTACCCCCCTGAGGGCCCTCGCCCGCCCACTGCCGAGGAGGTGAGGGGCCTGGCGCAGAGGCGTCAGCAGGGGGAGGGGAAGCAGGCTGAGGGGCAGTGAGGGAGGAGTGGTCCGGAGGCAGCAGCAGCAGCAGCAGCAGCAGGAAACAGCAGCAGGAGGAGTGGTTTGGATGTATAGAAAAGACAGTAAAAGGAGCACTAGGGTGAGGGGAGGCAGTAAAAGGAGCACTAGGGTGAGGGGAGGCAGGCTGGCGGGCAGGGAAGGCTGGAGGGGCGCAGAGGGAAGCAGGTTCGGGGGCAGTGATGGGGGGAGTGGTGCAAAGGGAAGCAGAGGGCCAGCGGCAGGAGAGGGTAGCAGGGGGAAGAAGTCACCATAGGCCTAACCCTGGACGAGGCGCTTTTGAGTCGACTCAAAAGAAGTCACCAGAGGCCTAACCCTGGACGAGGCGAGGAGGTGGGGGGCCTGGCGCCGAAGCGACAGCAGGCAGAGAGGAGCAGGCTGGGTGGCAGCGAGGGGTGGAGGGGCGCAGAGGGGTGGCAGGTTTGGGGACAGTGAGGAGGGGGTGGGGCGCAGTAGACGGCAGAAGGCAGAGGAGAAGCAGGATGCGACGAGAGAGTGAAGTGCGTACAGTAGATGCACTTTCTAGGATACCGTAGAAGTAAAATTGATACGGTAGATGAAGTTTTTCCACTGAACGCGGGCAGGCAGACATGCATGTGAAGGGCTCAGAGGGGGCGCGATGTGGAGCATATGAGTCTGCAAAACGGTGCATCTTCACAGCCCTAAGATCTACGGCAGTGTAGGTATGGTACAGTGGGTCCGATGGGAAAAAAGGGCCCAGGCTGGAAAGGTACCTGGGGGTTGGTGCAGTTTCAAATGAGGATGCTGGTTGGGGATGGGCATATTCTATCATAGCTTCACAGTGTGGAAAACCCTGTACTGTACACACTGGCAAATGCATTATCTTAAAATAGAGGTTTCTGAAGAGAAGTGAACGCTGAAAATGTCAGAAAGGTAGCTAAATGGCCTACAGGGACAGCCGTAACAGGTACCATACATGCTAGTGCATGTCCTAAAAAAGCCTACGGAAGTCAGCCTATTAAACTGGGCCACAACCACCAACAACAGAGATCCAACAGAGATTTAAACACAAAAGAAAATCACCCCTTAAACCACATCCCCCCATCATCCTTACCACACCCCTCCCTCCCTCCCATCTCCCCACCAAACCCAGTTAGCCCTACACCCAGTTAGCCCCGGCCGGCACTCAAGCCTACCGCCCAGCCCTAAACAGCAACCCCATGCAGGCCACCATGTCAAGTCATGTCACATCGGAGCATGTCATGTCACAACATCTCTACTCTCCTGCTCAACTCTTTCCCACCACCTCCTCTCAACGCCACCATGCCACTGCCAGCTCTCGCCATCCCAGAATCCCCAAGCGTCTCCGAAGTCGACAGTCGAGAGCAGGATCTCAGGAGCGCTTTCCTGCTCGCATGAGCAGGATCGCATGAGGAAAGGGCTTTCCTCCCTCCTCATGCGAGCAGCGCCAGCTCTCGCTTGCGCCGCTTCTCCCTCGCCGCTGCGGCCTTCTCCTCCTTGGTCACACGCGGGGTGTCCAGCCACCTGCAGACAGCAAGGGGGAGGAGAGGCGGGAGGGAGCAAGAACATTGAGGTTGCTCTTGGAGAATATCCACCCTTGTGAGAGAGATCAGATTGCTGAATAAAGTAACCAATTTAACATAGAATAAAGAAAGAAGGAAAAACGTATTCACCCAAATACCACCCCTGGCTCGCATGCCAACGTGCACCTCCAAAAACTCTTTCTTTCAGGCCGCTTTTAGCTAAGTCCACAACTGAGCGTGCTTAACACCCAGACTCCGACGCGTAAAACAATTTTCTCGATCCGAATAACTCAATCTTTCACGGAACGATTTTCTCTCACCTGAAGAAATTGCACCGCGTGACATCCTTCTTCCCCTCCGCCTCGTCCCCTTCCGCCGCCGCGTGGCGCGCGCCCTTGCGCGCGTGGCGGGGGCGCTTGAAGGGGCGCGGCTGGTAGTTGGCGCACGTCCAGTAGCGCAGCCCCTTGTTCTCGTTCGCCGCCGCCGTCACCGTCCGCACCACCGCCAACCGCTTCCGCGTCCCCTTCCCCTTCCCCTCCGCCTTCCCCTCCCCCTCTGCCTTCGCCTCCCCGTCTCCGTCCTTTTTCTCCGCTTCCTTCGCTTCCCCCGCGTCCGTTTCGCCCTCTTTTTTCTCCCCATCAGCCGCCTTTCCCGCGGACTCAGCCGCTGCTTCCCCCTCCGCTTTTTCCTCCACCTCCCGCCCCTCCTCCCCATCCGCCGCGTCGCAGTAGCACGTCGGGCCCTCTCCTTCCGGCAGCTCGCCTGTCGGCGGCGCCTCGCTTACCGGCGGCGCCGCGTCTTCCTTCGACGCGGCATTATCCTCTTCGACGGTTTCAGCTTTCCTCTTCTTCGAGTTGGTGGTTTCAGCGTCACCACTGGCGGCTTGAGACCTCCGCGACCTCCGCGTCTTTCCCGCTTCCGCCTTCGGCGCTTCCGCCTTCCCCGCATCCGCCTTCTCCGCTTCCGCCATCGCCACATCAGCCTTCCCCGTTTCTGGCTTCACCGCCGCCTTCTCCGCTTCCGCCATCTCCACATCAGCCTTCCCCGTTTCTGGCTTCACCGCCGCCTTCTCCGCTTCCTCTTTCCCCGTGTCGGCCTTATCAGCTTCCTTCCCAACTTCCGCCTTTTCCGCGCCCCCATTTTCTGCTGACTTTGCTTCCGCCTCCTCTTCCGCCTTCGCTTCTGCCTTATCTTCCGCCTTCGTTTCAGCCTTTTCTTCCGCCTTTGCTTCCTCCTTTTCTCCCCCCTTTGCTTCAGTTTTCTCTTCCGCCTTCGCGTCCCCCTTCTCTTCCGCCTTTGCTTCCGCCTTTGCTTCCTCCTCTTCCGCCTTTGCTTCCGCCTTTGCTTCCTCCTTCTCTTCCGCCTTTGCTTCCGCCTTAAGTTTTGCCTTCGCTTCCTCCTTCTCTTCCGCTTTTGCTTCCGCCTTCTCTTCCGCCTTTGCTTTCTCAGTTTCCGTTTTTTCCGCATCGTTCTTCGCCTCTGCTCCCGCTTCTGCCTTAGCGGCTTCCGGCTTAGTCGCTTCCGCTTTAACGGGTTCCATTTTCTCAGCGTCCGCGATTACAACATTCTCGCCATTTGCTTGCGGCTCCCCTGCATTATTCCCGCCCCCGGCAGCCATCCCCTCTTTCACAACTTCCCCGCCGTTTGCAAGCTGATCGTCTGCTTTTAGAGTGTCCTTGACAGAGTTAGCGGGCGCAGCGTTAGCTTCGGCAGTCGAATCGCCAGCAACGCTCTTACCTATCTTCGCTGCCTCTTTCTCTGCAGGCATATTCACTTTCGCCGCGTCCACGTTCCCAGCCATAATCCCAATACTAACCGTTGTGCGGTGAGGTGCGGTGCGGTTCCGTCGGAGCTTTCAAGTCGAGAGTTGAAACAGCTGAAAGAGGGTCGAGAGGAGTGAGGGTTTGAAGCATTTCACGACAGTGGCACGGGAAAGACATTTCGAGGTGCGAAGGGAGCAATTGGGGAGGGGGGGAGGGCTACAGTAGCTCGAAAAAGGCATTCGAAGTTTGAAAACTCGAACCTCGAAAAAGTTCCGAAGGTCTGTACGCGCTAATGCTTTGCTTTCGTGGTTTCAGCTTCGATTTTATTCTACTTTCTATACTTGTAGTTTAAACTCCGTAAAATCCGCAGGTTTGACTGCAATGGGACACGTGTGCAACTTTTATGGAAGTCACGGTGACTGTAACGTTTGTTCTAGTTAAAGGATGCCATGATTCTGACACTGGGGCTCGGAAGCAGTCCACTGGATGAGTCAGCCAATCGAAACTTTTTAGGGCGCGCAATGGATACAGTAGCGCATGAGTCACGACTCACGACCGATACCTCCCCGTGATTGTGATCGAACCCCCGTATCGCGCACTTCTATGCCATCGCTTCAGTCACAATTGACTGAGTGACTGGCTTTCCTTTTGCCCCTCGAGTATCACGTTTCTCTGAGAATACACTCAGATTTCTCTGGATAGAAATGTTCCTAGTAGTTATCCAGCATAGCAACGAAACTACAGCAAGTTTTGTCGCGAAATCATGGAGATTATGGAATGCAGGTGAAAATCGTGGTAACCTTTACCTTTCACTCTTTTTATCGGAAGTTGGGGGACGCAATGAAAGAGGGTTGCCAGCTCTGACTGCCGAACAAGCAAAACCAAGTACAAGCTGGAGAGAGGGAACAATGGATGAACCACAAAATACCACAGCACAGAAGCCGTGGCTGTCTAGACTCTAGTCTAGAGTCTGGACTCACATTCAACGAGCGACTCTAGGTAGGAAGGCCTTTTGCCTTAGATGTTTCGTGCAATATCAAAAGACAGGTCAACAGCCCTGTTGCTACGTACTGTTCGCGTTTCCGTATTCAAGCTTTTCTCATTAGCCTACCTTGAAAACGATCAACCCCCTACGGAATCGAGGGTGACAGCCGAGAAGTCGTGACCCGTGAGTCGTGAATAGATTTATCCCATCACATTCGAGTAACACGAACGACCAAGCCTATTAAGGCTCGCGCTGCTCGGTTCGTGGTGTGATGCCAATGGATCACTCCGCATCGCTATGAATCTTGTCAGATATTCTCGCTGAATTTAAGTGATAATGAGACGTTCTAAGACTCCTCAAAACCGTATTCTAGCCATTTTTCAAAGCCCGCTGTAGTTATCATTGGAGCTGCTTCTCATACTTCTCAACGAGTCAGCCCTCCTTGAGCCATCATCAGCGTCCTCCTACCTCCTCTCCACATTACTCTTCCCATAAAGTACACTACAGCTCATCATCGATCACTGATTTTACCTCACCGCCATGATTCGGAGATTATCTCCATTGATCCGCAGCGCGCAGAGCGCTGTGACGGATCCGGGATTCCTGCTCGCGCTGCTGCTGGTCATCGTCCTCCCGTCGCTCAACCGTAATCTCAACTTGAGTGCCAGAGTTCCCAGTTTACCCAGTCCAACGGCACTCGACGATTCCGTTGTCGGACCTTACGCC